CCTGCCAGGCGGCGTACCTCAGCGCTATTGCTCTCGCAGTCGTCTCGATCTGGGCCGGCGCGTCGCGTCGTGCGTTTCCGCCCTCGCTCGTGCCGCGCCACCTCCCTCGCCCCGCCGCCGCCGCCGCCGCAGCCGCCACCGGCCGGCAGGCAGGCAGGCAGGCCGGCGGGCCGGCGGGCCGCGACCGGCTCTCGTGAATGGAATTACTACGCCGGCGGTGGAGGCGGCGAGCGTGGGAGATCCGCGCCGCGCCGCGCCGCCCTCCGGACGAGTTCGAGACAGAGACAGCAACAAACGACGATTTCAACGGGCGGGGGCGCGGCGGAGGGTCAGGCAGGGGCTGTTTACGCGGTGACGGTGTAGGAGGCGCCCGTGGAGGCGGTGTGTGTGTGTGTGTGTGTGGGGGGGGTAGGAGATGGAAGTGAGTAATGAGGGGCAGGGAAGATACTCCGCGTCGGTGCTGGTGTAGGCGGTAGCGGTAATGGACGGTGAAGGTGAAGGCCTCGGCGGTGAAGTCGGAAGCGATGTAGGTGTCTGCGTGGTAGGTGGTAGAGGTGGTAGAGGAGGCCGTGGTGTAGGCAGGAGTGGTGAAGGAGGCGGAGGTGTAGGCGTCGGCGGAGTAGGAGTCGGCAGTATAGGTGTCGTAGACGAAGGCGGAAGTGGTGAAGGCGTCGAAGATGGAGGAGTAGAAGGCGGTGTAGCTATTAACGGCGTAGGCGTCAGAGGTGTAGGCGAGAAGGGTGTAGGAGGCGATGTAGGTGTCGACGGTGTGGGTGCAGGCGCTGTGGGCGTCGGCGGCTTAGGCGTCGGCGGCTTAGGCGTCGGCGGTGTAGGCGTCGGCGGTGTAGGCGTCGGCGGTGTAGGCGTCGGCGGTGCAGGCGTCGGCGGTGCAGGTGTCGCAGATGTAGGCAGGAACGGTGTAGGTGGCGGCGGTAGTGGTTGGGGAGCGGTAGTGTATGAGGCAGCGGCTGCGGATCGGGGGGGGGGGAGGGCAACAGCATGAAGGAAGGGAGGCGGCAACCTGGCAAAAGGGAGATTGCAGGGGTGCGGTAGAATGGCCGCAGGATAGCGGTAGGGTGGCTGCGGCGGCGGAGGCGACGCGGCGGAGACGGTGCCGGTGGTGGCGGGGTCTCGTGTGTTTCCGCGCTCCTTCGTGGGCGCGCCCGCGGCGCGGACCGGTTTGCGTGAATGGATTTACGCGTCTGAGCCGGCGATCTGTTGAGCGTCGCGCGCTCGCGGCGCTGGGGATGCTGGGCCGGCTGCGGCGGGCGGAGTGGCGGAGCCTCCGAACGGCGTATTTCAAGCAACATTAGTCACGCGCTGTGTACGTCGCTCCTCCTTACACAATCCAATACACCTGCGCGCATGTCTGAATGTATTTACGCGTCCTTTATTAAATCCGCCGATTGAAATTATCTTTCACTACAGAAATAGTTATTAAGATTAGGATAAAAATTTGTAATCAAAAGCCGGTAAATCATTTATCATCAGTCATTGAATGTCACATTTGTAAGAATTATAATGGTACAAACATTTGAAAACTTTATTTTATGTAGAAAAAATGCGTAGTTGATTGATTTGGAACCGACAGAAACGTATTCAACGATATAAGTTTACGAATAAAATATAATTATCAACCTAAAGCAAGAAATTTATTTTTTTGTGTGTCTTTAAAACTTGTTTTATTAATTCTTCTGGGAATATGATCTGGGAGTACACGTGATATCTCAATGACTATTTATTTCAACGGGTGTGTTCAATATAATTGAAATAAGAAATGTTTAAGGGATTTCTACTTTAGAGTTTTAAGAGAAGTCTACATTTATCCGTCTCTTAGCGTTGTAGTAACAATAACAAAGAACGAAACCTTGTAAAGAAAAAATCGATTCTATTTATTTCGAGACAAAGTGGGCGAATAATCAGGAGCAAAATATTTCATATTATTAAAAAAAAAAAAAAGAAAAACTTTTTACAAACCAAGTGTCATGCTGGCGCCCAAAGGCACTCTACTTCTCCCTATCGATTTTCGTAGGCGTGAGGGAGGACGCTAGGAATGGCTTTCCCCTCCACCGCCACCTACGTCTACTCTAGAGAGAATATCGATTTTTGGGTACAGTCCGTTCTAGAACGTGGGGTAAAGTCAAGAACCTCCTATTTGCGATATTCTCACGATATTTTCAGTCTGTCGATAGCGTTCAATAATTCGAACAGAAGAATGTTCTCCAAAAGTGGTCACGAGTAGAAAGAATGGAAAGTACTTGTTTGAATAATTTAGAATCCACATTTCTCAACACTCAAACTAAAAACAAATTATCTTAAGAAAAGGGCTAAACAAGCGAACATGAAAACACTTAGCACATTTATAGCGATTCCACCAATAACAAATAAAAAAAAATAGTCAAGACACGCAAGAAAAATGAACGTGAATACAGTCACGAAAATTTGCGAAAGAAAAGGAAAATCATGCAACACTAACAAACACATACAAGCAAATTTCTAGACATAGCCCACTAATTTCACTATCCCATGAATTTTAACCGTGTTTAAATTAGAAGTTAAGGAAATTTTATAGTTTTTATATGTTGAAACCTAATTTAATTGACCGTTCTTACATGGATGTTGCAAAAGGGAATGTTCCGCCTAAACAGCTCTCATTAATCAAAAACGAATCATTTTCCGCAAGATAAAGTAAACCGTGTAGTGCGATCATCACTTCAAGCAACAACAAAATTATCTGAATCCCGGCGTGTTTCGACATTGTTCACCGAACGTGCCTTCCCGACCCCAACACAAACAATTTTACGCGCCGTCTCCCGTGACGTACACAGAAAACAAAGGACGCGGGAACATGACAGTAAAAAAGTAACAGAATCTTTAATCCGGCCTGTTTTCGATACTTTTCTCCCAAATAAACCCTCCACTCGCACCCCACCGATTCAATTTAACTTAGATGCGCGCTCTCCCGCGATATTAACACTTACCCAAGAAACGCGCGATCATGACCATTACAAAATAACTAATCAGGCACCTGAATGCCGTCCTGTTTCCGTTTTCTCCGAAATGAGTCGTCTCCGACCCAAAGCAAACAGTTTTAACTTAAACGCACTTTCTCCCATGATATAACCATTACGCGCAAACATGACCAAAAGAAAAGAACATTATGTGTATTCCGGTGAGTTTTTAAAACTTTTCTCCGAAATAAGTCGAAAAATAGTACGAGAGCAAGTAGTAGAGGTTTGGAGACCCAAATGAGACCTCCTAGACCCTATATAAACAATTTAACACGCACCTTCTCCAGCGATACAAACAGTTAACCACGTACGCGCGAACATGACCAAAAGAAAGTAACAGATTACCTGAATTCCGGCGAGTTTTCAACATTTTTCTCCGAAATGAGTCTCAAATAGTACGAGAGCAAGTACATGTTTGGAGGCCGGTCAGCGGCGGCGGCGGCGGCGACGACGGTGGCGGCGGCGGCGGCGGCAGCGGCGCCTGTGCCCTGTGCCTGTGCCAGTGCCACGGGGGGGAGAGCAAGAGTGAGAGAGAAGGGATGCTGGCCGGAGCGCGGGGGCGTTCGTGCAGCTCTCGGCTCCTGTCGGCGAGCGACTGGCGCGATTCATATCGAGCGCACTTGGCGCGAAGAGCGCCGCGACGGCGCTTGAGACGCGCCGCAGACGTCTGCGCAGCTTCGGCGGCGCCAAACACAAACCGCGCCGCGGACCGAACATCTCCGTCCGGGACCCGCGCGGCTTTCCCGACTGCGCGCGACCGACGTGTTGTGGTTCCAAATAAAGGAAATGTTCCGGTTTTGCGAAGAGCTGTGTGCGTTTCTGAATTCCGAATTCTGCTGCAGCGAATGCGTGATGTAAAATAGATCTTCTGCCTTCATCTGGACTAGTTTTGCGCATAGCTGGACACCACGCCGGAAATTGGATGCTGAGAGTTTTAGCGCGGCGAATGACGGTGAATTCTATGGAATTAATCTCCCGCGTGTATCGATTTACGCGTCTAGCTTCCCGAAGAGCTGCGTGCGTCGTCGGAAATTGTGAATTGGAGAGTTTGCCGTCGCGGATGGGTGATACTTTGAAACACGTTGATTCCTTGATTTACAATGTTAATCGGTTTACGCTGAAGTGTCGTGAATAGCTTTGCACGCTGTCGGAAATTGTCTATTGGTAATTTTGTGTTGCGATTACGTGGCTGTGTAAAACAGACTTCTTTGACTTCGTTTTCGGGAAGTTTTCAGGTAAGCCTCAACCACGAAGCTCTGGCTTCACGGTTAGGTTGGGGCAACGTTGGTACACGTTGGAAGTTGACGTATTATCATCTTCTGGGACTTTCGCCGCTAAAATGCTGTGAAACCGTGAAAGAGTTGCGTAGAACGATCTCGCGTGCTGAGCTAAGCCCTGAACAATTAAGAGCGTAGCAGTGCACGGCCGGAGTCAATAACTCCTTGGTAGTCTGGGAGGCGCATTCTACGTACAGCCAACCTTTAGACCGCCATTCTCCGACCATCTGCAGGGAGAATTGCCTATTCAGATCAATTCGCCCTGAGGAAAGTCGCAGAATGGCGGCCTAAACGTTGGCACCTGTTCCTAGGACGCGGCGTCTCCAGGGCAGCCAAGTAGTTAAAGATCTGAACAATTTTCACCCCAAAGAGAAATGGCAACCTGCAGAGGATGAGGAGGTTGGAGAAGCGTGCGTGAGTGATATCTTTGACCGGGAATTTTGCGGATCTGTGAAAGAGTTTAGAAGATCGATCTCGCGTACGGAGCTTGGGAGACCTGAACAATTTCCACCCCAAAGAGAAATTGGCAACCTGCAGAGGGTGAGGAGGTGGGAGGGGCGAGCGCGGGGGCGAGTGGGCGTGGCGAGGCGGCGGGCGAGCCCGCTGGGGGGCGCGAGTGGCCGCGCGAGCGAGCTAGAGCGAGCGATGAGCGAGACGCTGCGCGGGCGGGCGTGGGCGGGCGGCGGAGCCGGGGCGGCCGGCCGTTACTTACTGGTGCTCCTGCAGATGCTGCGACAGCTGCGTCTGGTCGTCGGCCAGGAAGTTGCAGCGGCCGCACGCGCGCTTGTTGTGCACCTTGAGCACGTGCGTGGCGAGCCGCTCGGAGCGCGCCGCCTTGTAGTCGCACAGCACGCACACGAACGGCTTGAGGTGCGTGTTGAGGTGGCGCTTCAGGCACCAGTTGTCCACGCCCGACCAGGCGCAGTAGCAGCACGAGTAGCGCTTGTCCGCCTTCTTTTTGTTCTTGCTGATGTGCGACTTGGCGTTGCAGCCGTTCACGTTCATCATGTGCTTGTCTTGGTTGTGGTGTTGTTGCTGCTGCTGCTGTTGCTGTTGCTTCATGTTGCCGCCGCCCCCGTTCCCGCCACCACCGCGGTGGTGAAACCCACCGGGGATGTTGAGGTTGTGATGGTGTTGCTGCTGTTGCTGTTGTTGCTGCTGCTGCTGCTGCTGCATGGGTGGGTGGGGAGGACCCATGGGCGGATGTTGGGGGGGCGGAGGCAAACTATTGTGTCCGCCTGGGGTGTTGTTGTCGCGGTTGACGCCGTTCGGCGCGCCGGACCCTGGGATATGGTTGTTGTTGTACTTGTGATAATACGACATCCCGCTGGCGTTTTTGGGCGGCTGGCGCCGTATTCTGTTGAGGTCGTAGGGGTAGTCGCGGTGCATGCGCAAAAAGTGCTTTTTGACATGGTCCGCGCGGTTGAACTGCTTCTGGCAGACATAGCACTGGAAGGGCTTCTCCTCTCGGTGGATGTTCTCGTGACGCGTGAAGAGGTCGCGTCTGTCCGTGGAGTAGGGGCAGTAGCTGCAACAGTAGCGCTTGTTGCCGCCGCCGGCGGCCGCGTGGTGGTGCGCCCCGCCCCC